GAAAGCTGTTGTAAAATGCATTTATGTAAATCCTGAGTAGAATCCCTTTAATAAAAGCAGTGTATTCCATATGACTTCAGATATTACCGAGGTGCTGTGGGGGCCCTTCTTGTCTACGACATTGCAAAACATCTGACTTACGAGAATGTGGAGCGTTGGCTAAAAGAATTGCGGGATCATGCAGATAACAACATTGTCATCATGCTGGTGGGAAATAAGAGCGACCTGCGCCATCTGAGAGCTGTGCCCACTGATGAGGCCCGGGCTTTTGCAGGTTTGTGGACTATATATGTTTTGTCATCTTAGCTAGTGCTTTTTAACTTCTGCATACTAGCATGTTGTTGACTCTGCTCTGCCTTTTCTGGCAAGGGCACTCTTTCAGTTGATGTTTTATTCCAAGGGGTCATATACAAAAACACTGGAATGGAAAAATGTTTGAAGGTTGACTCATGAGGGCTTTGGTTTCATAACAAAAAAGAAAAAAAAAAGTTGTGGTATGGTTTCTTGACAGTCATAATGCTAGTACCATATTTTCTCAAGAAAATGTGCTCCAGAATAAAATATACATCTTGTTTTTGAAAGGCAGAATTAAGAAAAAGCTCTCCTTGAAGTAACTGGGCACATCTACAGCTGCAATTAATGCAAAGCAATAAATTCCAAAGTGTACTGCTCCCAGGGAGGGGTGCACTGATAGATCGACTGGCTATTGGATTGGCACGGATTAAAAGGAGAAATGATGTTATCAGCTATTGGCTTTTTATGGTCGCTGTAGCCAATAATTATGGCCATATGCTCAGAGTACCCTGGCAAGCGTCCCAGTGCCCCGCTGCTGGCCTGAGCCTGTGGCAGACGACAGGTCCCAGTGAGCTGCAGAAGTGGGGAGAGGGTGCTGGGGAGCGGTTGAGGACCATTACCAGCTCCTGCTGCCTCTGCCATAGCACCACCATGTGTGCAGCAGGGACCTGAGCACTGGGGCTGCCGTGGAGATGTTGGGCTATGCGCAGGTGAGGTAATTTGCCACGCAAAGGACATTTTGCTCTTCCGGGCACCAGGCACCTTTGCAAAAGCAGCTTCTCCCCCAGTAGCCATGGGAGCTCAGCTACAAGGGCTCCAGCAGCGTGCTTTGGGGCTCCAAATGCGCCCAGCACCACTGTCTGCACGAGGGTCTGCCCTACCTGCCCGGAACGGCAGCCTGGGCTGCAGGGCTGCAGGTAGGAGCTGTGGGCGGGGGGCAACATGAGTGGGAATAAAGTAGCCACTGCCTTCAGCAAAGGTGAGAGCATGCAGGAGATGTGTGTGTGTTAAATGCAAAACAACAGAGGTGCCCCAGTACATTGGTCCATATTGTATCGGTACTGATGAAAAGGAAAATTAACGTTTACTGGCAGTTGGCTTTTTTGGCTTATGTATCTGATTAGTGTCACTGATAAATGCTGAGTGCATGTGTGCCGCACCAGCATGCACGCAGCTGGGAGTGCAGCCCGGTAGCTTGGAGAGCAGCCTCTAGCCAATAAGTCTGTGGGGGTGGGGGGCAGATTGAGGCCCCTGCGGTGAGGGTGGGAGCTCCAGACTGGGGCAGACGCTGCCGGGGTGGGGCATGGGACAGAGCCATGGTCCCTTCAGGGTATGGGGAGGTGAGTGGTAGCTCCCACCACTGCGCACATCCCCGGGGGGGCAGGTTCCCCCCCCCCCATCTGTGTACAAGACGGGTGGGTGACCGCTGTGGGCTGGAGCTGGAGACTGTGCTGAGCTCTTCCTGGCAGCTGCACTTGGGTGGGGCAGGTGGCAGTGTGGGGAGGGAGGACTATGGCAAGTTTTTTGGAGTGGTTCAAGCACCCTTCCCCCCTTGGCCTGCTCTCACCCCACACAGATCTGGAGAGCACATGCCCCATGCCTCCCTCAGGGGTGTGTGCAGCAGTGAGAGCCAGCCCCCCCATCCCTGGACAGGCTTTGGCTTCGTCCCATACCCCACCCTGCCCTGGCTGTTCAGCATCTGCCCTTGCCCCAGCCCTACTCCCTCCCTCATCTCGGGGGGCGTCAATCTCCCTCCCCCATGCTCCTTCACCTCAACACTTACCAACTAGACACTGCTCTCCAAGCTGCTGGCTGCGTATTGGCAATTGGATCGGTATCGGCCGATATGGCTGGTCAGTGATCAGCTATCTGTATAGCTATGCTGAAGCGCCCATGTGCCCCAGCCAGCTGGGGCGGCATCTACTTGTGTGCTGCTGCAAAGTTAATTAGTTTACTCCCGCCTAATAGGGGTGTACAGGTAGACATGTGACATTTACTGTGGAGCTAATTGGTCTGCTCTGCCGTAAAGGTCGTGTAGGTGCGCCCACTGGGTACATCTGCAGGTTCATTAATGTGCCGTATTTACTGTGCATTAAGTTTAGTACTTGCATAACCAAGTATTAAATTAACGTGCAGTAACTGGTGCGACTGCGCCATAGCACTGGCGTGTGGCTTTTTATTGATGCTGACTGCACCGTAGCCTAATGCTACTGCACAGTAGCATATTAGCATGGGTTTTGCCTGACACACTACTGCACAGTGTTATTAGGCTATTGTTCAGTTAGCATCTTGTGTGGCCACATCCACTAAGTAGCAGCAGCTAGGGAATTGAGCCTACTTGTTCTGTTCCTTGTGGATTGCATGGAAACTTTTTTTGTTGCTTTTGCAGGAGAAGCAACAGAAATTACTTTTACCATATTTCTTATATATAAAGCGTTCTTTAACTTCCAGTGTCTTTTGGGGAGGGCAGAGGGAGAAGGGGTGCCTGTGTATGCAAGAGAATTTGGCATGATTTTTACAAAAACAGCAACCATTCAAGCCCTGGGTTGCTTAATATCTAAAAGATAGACCCATCTCATTCTGTTCTCAGATGCTAGGTGTGCTGAAAAATGTAACATTTTCCCCATCCAGTTTCTTTATGGATAAATAGTCCCCAAAACCAGTAGCTGATCAGACTTCCACCAAATGTTCAAATCCAGCTTGAGATAAGGTGCTTTCCTTGTTTGAGCTTGTATTGATCTGTTCTTGTTCTTATAGGATCAAAGGAAAGTAGGCCTGGAAGTGACCTTACAAGGGCATGATTGTCCCTGACTAAACCATCCCAGCCAAGTGTCTGTCTGATCTCTGGAAGATGTCTGGGGATGGAGGGTTCACATCGTCTTTAGATAGCCTGTTCACATGCTTGACCACCCTTTATAATCAGGCTGTTCTCTGTAGCTGCTGGGAATAGGACCAGGACCTGCAACAGAGGAAATTTAGGTTGGAGTTTAAGAGGAACTTCTATAGCTCCGTTCTCTCTCTTATTGCTTTTCAGGTATTTGAACAGTTACTAAATGTCTCCTAGTCTCCAGGCCTAAATAACTTCAATTCTTTCACCTTTTTCTCATAAATCATGCTTTCCAGGCCTCTAATCATTTCTGTTGCTGTGCACTGGGCTCTTTCCAATTTCTCTACATCTCTCTTCACCTCTGCAAGTTCTCAAAGAGGATAGTCAGTGGCTCTGCAATTCCCTCATTGCTTTGATACCCTAGAGTGTATCCCATCTGCCCTTGCATACTTAACTGCCTAACTTCCCTAAGTACTCCCTAACTTTTGTTCTGGCTCACTGCCTAGAGCAGTGGAAGATCTGGTCCCCAGTGCTTTGTCATCCAACCTGCAGGGCTCCCCCTGGTTCTGTGGAGAGCCTTACAGGCTGTGGTCTTGCGTGGGAACTGGTCCTGGTGCACGGGGCCCCCCTCTGAACCTGCAGACCGGCCTAATGCCATTCATCTGGCTCAGAGCCACAGCTGAGCACCACAGGCTGGTCGTCTCTTTCACTATCTTTGCTGCCAACTGCTCTCACCTTCTGGTGGCTAACTGTATTCATGAAGACTGAGGTAAAAAAGCATTAAAAACTTAAGCCTTCTCTGCAACATCTGCAACTAGGTTGCCTTCTGCATCCTGTAAAGGACTTACGGTTTTTTTTAGTCTCCCTCGTACTCTTTGACATACTTGTAGAATCCTTTTTAATTGCTTCTTATGTCCGTTGCCAGTTGGATCTCAAATTGTGCCTTTGCCTTTCCTATTTTTTCCTCTGTGCACTACTCTTTTCTAGTACTGTGACCAAGTTTTTCCTTTTGTATGGTTTCTTTTTGAGTTTTAGACTTGCCTCCTAGGGGACTTGCCCCTCAGTTCCCCAAGGTTGTTAAAGTCTGCTTTTTTGAAGTCCAGTGGCTTTATTCTGTTGCTCTCCTTCCTTCCTTCCTTCCTTCCTCTTAAGTTTTTGAAATCTCTCATTTTGTGATCACAGTCAACCAAATTATCTTCTACCTCCGTGTTCTCAACTGGTTCTTCTCTATTTGTGGCCAGCAAGTTGAGAAAAGTTTCCCCCATAATTGGTCTGTCTACCATCTGTATCAAAAAGTTCTTTTTCATTTTCCAAGAATTTGCTGGACTGCTTGAGCACTGCTATGTTTCCCTCCCAGCAGATGTGCCGATAATTAAAATCTCCCATGTGCCACATCTGTTTGGAAATTTCCATCATTTGCTTAAAGAAGGCTTTGTTCACCTTTTCCTACTGGTATGATGGTATATACTTATCTCTGTCATGCACTTCTTAAACTTAATTTAATTAATCTTAAACTTTTTAAGCTTAAAATTAAATGTACACCCTCTAGAAATCCTTTGGGAACTTATCCTCACTTGCCTAAAAATGTTAAAAATATGTACTTGTCTTTATACCAGTACTCTATTAGTGTAAAGCCCCTGAACTGAAGATTATAAGTTGGTGGATAGATCTAAATTTTCTAGAAATACTGAACCATTTCAATATAAGCCCCTCTATAATGGAGTCAGAAACTTTGGGTATGAAGTCCAGCATTCTGTGTTTTGCTCTCCTGCTTGCTACCATTTTCATTGGATCTACCTGAGGTATTTAAACATTGAGTGCAGTGGGAGCCAACATTTTTAAGCAGGCGTGCTACAAGGTAAGCCTCACGGCCTCAATGGGCGCATCCAGACGAGCATGCACGTGCCTGTTGCTCAGTCTCAAACCCCTTTGAGACAGAGCAAGAGGCATGTGTGGGAATGAAAAAAATGTTCCCCATGCTGCAAACAAACAACCCCCCCTCCCCCCGGCACTTACCGGCAGTCCATCTACTGTCTATCACTGGGGGCCCCACCTGCACAGCACGGGGCAGAAGGTCTGCCCCAGCAGCCCCAGCCCTCCTGCCCCCCACTGCCCTGTGCTGCCTGGGGGGGCTCTACCAGGAGGCCCCGGAG